CTCTACTATCTAAATCCATAATAGTGTTTTAGTAGATTATAACAGATTATAACGATTTTAAAGTATTTTATCGATTTAACCGAATCATGATATCGGAGGAAAAATTATGAATCTGTTTTCAAATAAAAATGAATATTAGACCCGATCACCATAGTCAGCTAAATTATGCACAGCGCCTTCGGCTAAAATTTGTATTCCAGGCGCTGGCTAGTTTCTATAAATCATGAGATGACAGATTTCATCTCTCTTGATCTATAAGTGCGACGCGATAGATTACAAAGCAAATGTAATTAATAAATATCATATTATTGATCATTGAAAAGATTTTCTGCGCCTCAGAGACATATCCAGAATCACGTGAATTGATTTTTTTGATTTCTGTGGTAAGTTTAACATTAAGTTCAGATATTAATTCTACCAAGCTCCGCAATGAAAGAAATATTTCGGATAAGCGTGTGGTGAATTCATTAGCGATCTTAGTGCCACGTGCAGAGAGTTCATCTGTGATTTTAGTATTCATCCTTAATTTTGGTGATCTACACATTAATAAATGTTTTAATTTCTGTGGAGAAACATCGGAGATTTCTTCAAGAGACGAGCACTGAAACACATGGTAATAATCCCCATGACTATCATGAAGAAAAAAACAGCATATAAGGCCAAAAATGGCATGCTTCCCAAAGAGTTGATTGGTCATGATTAGATAAAGCGATGCATAACTTGTCACATTTTCATAAGTGTGTTTATATTTATTTACTCTCTCCCTTTTTCTGTCTTGGCTTTTTCGGAGTCCTAAAACAATCTGCAAAATAATTAACATTAGAATTTGAAGGTGGCACTTGTTGCTGACCAACATTTAGTAGTTCATTTAAGATATTTTGTTCCTTCTGATCTTCCTCGAGATCTTCCTCGGGATCTTCCTCCTCACGTAGAACTTGTATATTATTCTTTAATATCGTCTGTATTAAATAAAGTTATAATGATTAGAAATAATATTGTATGATAATGTAAAGTATTTTTTTTTATTACCTTATACTGATATATCGATACCAGAAATTTTAAAATATGCTTAAATTTATCAATAGAAAAGTTATGTGGCAATTCGTACAATGGAAGATCTTTTTTGAAAATAGTTATTGATCCTTCTGCTCTCCAAAGTCTACTGAATTGAACTCTCAACCCAAGATGGATTATTCCAAAAACTTGAATTTTAGTTGTTTTATTATCATCATAGTTGAGAGCTCTTATTAAATCTGCTAGTATGTCTCAGAGAGATTTAGGTAATTTAAAATATTCGGAAAGATATTTTTTATTGTGTATTCCTGCATAGGACCTCGCCCCTTCAATGACACCGATTTCGTGCAATTCTTCTATTAAATAAATGATTCCATCAATCTTCCTTCTGCTTAATTTTCTCTTTGTTCTTTTATTACGATTTTTCTGATTAGAACTCGCATATGATGGTGCCTCTGACCTACAAAAAAATTATGAGATTATATTTAACTTATACAAATAATCAAGAATAATAAAAGAAAAACCTTTTCACATCTGTTCTCAGTTTTGAATCTCGAAATAGTATATCTATACATGTTCCAAAAAACGCAATAGTGTACCAATATTCATAATAATTTCATTGTAAAGGGGAATCATCGTTCTCATATAAATGTACACTCCCCGGTCAAAAGTATTGGACCAAAAAAAAAGTTATCGCAACTTTTAAATTTATGACTAATTTTAA